GCAACCTGTTTGAAGGGTTCTAAATCAGGGTCTAAATCTTCTGAAGGTTGTAAAGCGTTGCTGCCTTTCACAATTACAGATTGGATGACATTCCCTCACAGTACGAATTGTTTTGAGACGAAAAAGACAAAGGCGAATCAACCGATGCAGGGAATACTACTCTATGGGCATCAATATAATCATTTCACGTTTTTCTTACTCAGAAGGCTTCAATATAGTGGCCAACCAATAAGAAATGTAGGAGAAAACCGAAAGAAAAATGAAGGAAGGAGTGGCATCACATATTTTTTCTTCCAATACAGCCTCATTACAACTCTTCAAGACCAGAACGCTCTAGTCAAAGCGCGCCCCGAGTTTCAACCGTCCCAAAATCAAACACAGAGAATATTTAGAGAATATTTCAATAATGTAAGTCCTCGGTTGGCTATTTCGGAGAGCCTTGTTTGTTGGGTTGATAACACCAAAATGTTTGCCGAATTTCCAGTCGACGAATAACAGGGCGATAGCCGTGTCAGTGAGGTAGAGTGTATCCACCCGTGACAGTTTACGGGATGCAATCCTTTAAAACCCCCTCGGACCTCGTTCTCGACTGATCGACTAGGTGTCAAAGATGCTACACCAAATTTCAACGATTCCCTCGTCAATGAGTAAGGAGGCGACACAGATGCCGATAATGTAGAGTGTAATTATCGTGACGCTTCAGAGGATGGACCGTTTCAAAATCTCTTGGGACCTCGTTCTCGACTGGTTCGACGATTTTTCAAATGTTGGAAGCTTTGATGAAAGTACAATCCACGAGCACATCCCTTGACGTGCAAGACTAGAAGATGGACTAGAAGGTTCATAGTCAGTATTTGTATTTTGCAGTAAGAAACAAGCATGATCGATAGAATAAACAGCTTCAAACCACAGACTGACTCACTTTGTGTTGTCGAAAGAAATCAAAAGTCGCAGCACGACAAACTTACGTCTACAGCAGTATCAGTCTGAAATCGTGTACAAACGTGTAATCCACAAACGACAAGTCAATACATAAGTCACACGTCGGTTCTTCCTACGCCAAGGAATTCTTCGCATCAAGATGAAACTAAAAATCCCACACAGATATTTCACGCTTTCCTGACTCTTACAAAGCCAAAAAAAATCGACAGCGATTTCTCTACTACCTTGACACGTTTTCGCATCATAAGGTGGTCGCCTGGTCGGCAATCAAGAAACCGCCAAACACTGTTTCACACCAAAAGAAACCAGAAAGATGTATACGGTTACGACGAAAGAAGTGCTGACACCAATCGCAGAATGCGTATCCGAATTAATACAGGTCGTGACGGACTCTCAATCGAAGAATACCCCCCTCGCTGACCTTACTGCTTTGGCTCGAATTATGGACGAACAAGTACAGCAACTGATTAGTGTCGCCAGAAGCATACAATCAAACACTCCTGATGATGCCATCTTGGCTCAAGAGTTGCCAAGAGCATGTGATGAAGGTGTGGAAACCATACATACATTTTTTGGAATTCAAAAGTTTTTGGCCGGCAAGCTGTTCTACATTCGTTCCGAGTAGTTCTCCACTGGAATCTGCAAGATATGTGATACTTGAACTCATTTACATGCTTTTACCTAGTCTCTGTCGCGTCGTTGATGCTTGTAGGAGCAACCGACGATTTGAAGAACGATCCATTTGCCAAAGCACCAAAACAAACCATGTTGGATGCTATCAAGGGCGTGTTATCTGGTACCACGCATCTCATCTACGCTGTCGATGATTCGGACGTTAGAAAGATTGTCACTGCCTGTGATACAGCTATAAAACTATATAGTGCAATCCCTACTACTTCCATTGCACCACCTCAACCTTTGATTCATTTAATTCAACAAACTTCTACTGTATTGGTCACTGTCGTCCAGCTCTCTACAAAACGAGTGTCAGAATTATTGCAACCCATGCTTCAAACTCGATTAAAGGGTGCTCTTCAAAGCTTACAACGTGAATCTCCCTTATTGATTACCGCTACCAAGTCTCTGATTCTTGGAGGGGGCAAGCCCGAAGCTGCTGAATCTGTCAGGGATATAGTGGCACGGTTGGTCAAGAGCTTGTTGGAAATCAAAATCATCGTCCAAATTCGAGAAGATGATCAAACGTATGTATTAAGATTCAAATGTTCTCCTCTGTTACAGAAGCTCACCTTTCATTGTTTTTTTAGTGACATTAAATTCAAGTACGATATTGGACGTCAACGTGCTTCATTGTTACGTGTGCAGCGTGGATTGTGCCCCAAGATCGTTGCCGGCGAGACCACCGTAGTCACCGAACTCTTGGACGAAATCGTCGATCTCTCTTCCGGCACCGCCAAGATGACACAGGGTATTTGGTGTTCAACCATCTCTCAAGTCTCATTGACACTAACCCTATTTACTCATAGACGCTATCAAGGAGGTCAAGAATCCAATGGGTGCCGTCCGTGTCGAAGCACTCGTCAGAGACCTGAATGGACTCACCAGCCGTGTCAAGGAGGCTGTAGCAAGAGCATTAGCCGATCCCACGAATGCCGAATACCGTCGAGAATTACAAAATCTTCTAGATTCGCAGTCGAACCGCATCAACTTATTAGAAGACGAATTACGACGAGCTATTATTTCAGAACTAGAACAAGAATTTGCCGATTTGAATGAAAAAAACGAAACCGGCACTTCCAAACGTTTACAAGATGCTGCAGCTAACGGAGATAAAGATCTAACTGCTTCAGTATCGGCTGGATTCAAGGAACGAACAAACAATATAGTACGATTGGCCACTTTGGCGATTGAAACAACTGGAGCTGCCAACCCACAACTGGCCGAAGAAATCAAAATCAAGATTGCTGCTTCTCAAGGGCTGGCTAATTCGTTTGCTGCTGCATCACAGGCTTTATCTCAAAATCCAGATGATCAGAATGCCAAAGAGCATGCTTTGGCTGTCTCGAAAGCATTCCAAGCCGCTCTCCTGGAGTTGGCTAATGCTCTTGTACAACAGGAGGGTCTCTTCAACGGATATGAGCTCATTGCAGCTGCCAGTAAGTTTGATATTTGTTTGAGATTGCGATCTATCGTCTTTTCGTTACTGGTTGTGGTGGTACCTTAGGAAGGACGGTTATATGAGTAGACTGCAAAGAGCTGGCAATCGTGTCCACCTGGTCGTATCATGCTTCTGATTGTTCTTCGTGCTTGATAGAAACTTCACTGGAGGCTGCCATGTTGAACTTCCAGAAGGCAGTTGCTGATGGTGAAATGGAAAAGATAAAGAGGGCTGGTGCAGCTCTGCCATTAGCCGCAGATCGAGTGATTGCTATCGCCAACACTGAATTGGAGAACTCGGCAGACCAAGGGTACAAAGAGGAACTGGCTATTGTCATCAAGAAGGCGCAAGCAGGCAAGTGCCGTTCGTAAATCAGACGATTCTGTGTTCCTTTTTTGCTGTCCGTGTGCTTACCCTTACATTTATTCTTCCTAGTACGAGAGCACTGGACCACACGAGCAGTCACATCGCCAGTAGGTGTAGAAGAACGTGTTGGTAACTTTAAGGAAGCCACAGTTGCTCTTATGGAAGTCATGAACTTGTTGAGAGATGCTATGATTAGCTCTCGTGGTACTTCACTGGATAATGTACCTGCACCATTGAGACCCTTACCAGCTCCTCCAGGTGTTACTGCGGCTCTACCAGCTCTGCCAACACCTCCCAAAGCTGCATCTTTACCTATCGCAGAAATCAAGAACATCGAGACAGTTGAAAAGGTATCCGAGGAAGTGATGGCGAATACTCCAACTTCTCCAGTGTTCGAAGTACCAGTACCGTTAACACCAGAAGAGGCCAAGGCGAATCCGATATTGGCTGCCGCCGTCGACCTCAAGATTGCAGCAGCAGTATATGTCGCCAAAGATAATTTAATAGTGTCTAAAGCCAGTGACATTTCCACCTTGTTTGCTGAAATGTCTGCCGTATCAGCCGACCTTCGCAAGTCTCCAACACCAGAAGCCAAATCCCGATTTATTCAACTAGCACGAGAAATTGGTAAATGCTCAGAGGACTTCACCGCCAAGGCCAACGAAATCATGAAGGCTTGCACGGATCGCCGTCTAGTAGCCAGGTTGAAGGCTGATATTGAAAGATGTTTGACGCTGGGTCAGCAAATACGTATTGTTGCTGCGGTTAAAGCTTCAGAACCCAAGGATGTTGATAATGAGCAGCAATTGATTGTATGTGCCCGAAACTTGATGAAGACTATGCAAGAATCGATGGTCAACTGCGAGGCTGCAAGTTTGAGGGTGCCTGCCAGTGCGGGTCTGTCTAATGCCTACTTCCAAAAGAGGGGCCATGCTTCACATTAAAAGAGCAAATAGATAAATAGAGGGGGACCATATGCAATCTTTTTTTTTCTTATTGTCTATAAAATATACCATATTCATCAGTGTCTATTAACAGGAGTGGGCTAATGTCGACGAACAGTTTCAAGCAATTTTGGAATGCGTAGTTCTTGTCAGATATTGCTTATCTTTTATCTTTGTCTGAAAATCGCGTTCCCGACGTCGATACTTAACATTCCAGTTCACATTAGTACTGACGTCGACCGAACCTCGCACGGTTTCAACTTCCGTTCCTGACGTCTTATTGCACGAAGTAGTTCTTGAAGTGATAGAGCGAGGAATGGAAATATTTTCACCCGTAAAGTCTCCAGGCAGGAAAAGACGAGCTGCAGAAGCAGTCACCGGCTCATCGTCTTCGTCATCGTCAACATTGCCAGGAACAACAGCAGGAACTAAACGTCGAAGGTCTATTATGAAAATGAACGCCAACGATGGTGGATCTAGTACTATACCACCATTAGATGATATGCTGACTATGGATTCAGAGAACGACACACCAACCACTGATGAAACGACCAGGTAAATGTCATTTTTCCAAACATTTGATTTGATGTGAAAAGACATCTAACGCGGTCTTGTTGTAATAGAGATAAGGGTAAATCAAGAAAGTCGTTCGGAAGACGGGTATCATTTGCTGCTACTGCTCATGTCAGGTACATAGATCCACTTCGAGATCAACTTTGCCAGCTACGTGAACTTCCATGGAGAGAGTTCTGAGACAAGTTGTTTTCGTTAGATTATTCGACAAGGAGGATAGTCAATGGCCTACTCCTTCCAGAACTAGATCACAAATAGAACTGCCTTCTGCCGCCCCAACTCCAGAAAGCAAAACTACTTTTGATTTGCCTGACTTGTCGTCTCTTCGACGTACCAGGTGAGTTGTTTTACTGTCCTGGTTTCGAATTCAAATTGCTTGATTTATATTACTATTTTAGTGATACTTTTAATCTGCAATTATCGTTGGACACCTCCCAAATCCAAGAAAATGCTGCAGAGTCGGTCTCGGATGAACCGTACGTTCTTACACCTATTCAGTTTAAAACACTCCAACAGCGGTTAATTAGTTCATTCGTGAATAAACTAGAGAGACGAGCTTTGAAGTAGATGTCAAAGGAAGCAACTCTCCAGACAACAATGTGGATGGAGTAAAGCAACAACGAATATTAGCTAGTCCATCACCTGCTGGCTTTATTCTACCAAAACCAAAGTCTCCCATGCCAAAATCGCCTCTTGGAAAACCATCACCTTCACCTAAAAGGAATCCCGTTCGACGTGATTCTACCTCCCAATTCTTTGATCATCCATCACCACGATCACCTAAAGTGCCACACCACGCGGTTTCACAAGTAAATCAGGACAGTCCATTATCTAGACGATCCCCTCGCTTATCACAAGGTGGTATTGGCTCTCCAGCATCACCTGCAGTAAACAAAAAAGTAACATTGACTGCTGCTCGAAAGTCTCCAGCCAAACCAGATACTAAATCTAGGCCTCGAGACTCGATTGCTGGATTTTTTGGGTCAGCTGAGAATGAAGATGATACATTCAGAGACATTTTGGGTGGACGACCAAGTCGACCACGTGATAGTCTTGCTCCCATCTTCAGAAAGCCGAGTAGAGCTCCAGTGACTAGCGGTGCCAAAGCAAGGCCTAGAGATAGTATTGCTCCCTTCTTCCAGGGCTTGACAGAAGGAGGATCTGATGAACGAGATATCGCATCATCAGCAGAGTCTGTAGTCAGTGAGCCAGATGAGATTTTAGATGATGATGATGACGAAGAGGACGAGGAGGGTGTTGCAGCGAGACGACATTCATCTGAAGATAGTGCTGCTGACGTGTTGATGCCTATGGATGAGAATTCCATTTCTCCGCTCGTTGAAGTAGCATCCGCATCTCAAGAACTTCTCAAAGATGCTGGTGCAGGTAAAATATCTACTCTGTTCATCAATTCAATGTCCGTTCGAGGCGTAGCTGACAGTCCACCGTCAAACAGATCAAGATCTGTTAAAGGAAGACCAACCCGAAAGAGTGGAATCAGATGAACAATCAATGATTGATCTGCAAGAAGTGTCTATGGATCTCAACACCTCAAGCGAGGATCTGATAGCCATAATTAACCCTCTGGCTCTGAATGAAGATTATGAGATACCTGCCTCTGGTAAGCAGTAGTGAGAGCGATTTTGCCCAAGATTTCGACACTGACTTCTTGATATTTCAGACGAAAGAGATTCTGAACCCTCGAATACTATAAGTTCAACCTCAGAGCAGTCAGACTCTCAACCATCAGATTCTCGACCATCGGGTTGTGAGCGTTCAAAGCCTGAATTATCGGAGGCTCAAGACCTTGCCTCTCCTGAACGTCCATTCCAGCCAGCCAGTACTGAAAAAGGCCCTCAGAATGAAGTCGAGGCCGAGCCTGAAACACCAAAGATTGCTCGCATTGATACTGGAATGACTCCACTTGGCAAGCTGGCATCTGCAATAAAATCGAGGGCTCGTCTTACTGAGTTGACGCGTCGTACGCAAGAATTTTTCGTTGCCAATACGAGAGTATCTGTGATTGACTCGGGTTCTTTTTGAACAGAATCTGATTTTAATGGCATGAGAGGCTTTGCTGACACTACGCCGCTCGTATTCCAAAAACACAAGTTGGAAGAAAACTTTTTACGAGACCCAAGTCTTGATACAACTCGATTTTCAAGCTGTAAGCAAACGAACGCGACTTTTTAGTGAAGGCTGTCGTTTCTTTGCTAACGCTGTTCTTAACAACAGTGTTGGCTCGTCGTGGAGCTATAGATGATTATTCTTCAAACAGTCAGTCCACATCAACATTCAGTTTGCCACGAGGTATGTTTGAACCATAAATAGAACCTCGTATCAGAGTAACACTGTTCCGCCTACAGAAGTTCCACCTCAAGTCACTTCTGCTGATGAGGTAAAAACATCTTCTGTTGAAATGTTTGTCGAGCCTCTATTGGATCCATTAACGAACACTTTTGCACAATCTAGTCTCAATTATCTCTCGCGGCATTCTTGAATGTAGCTGGTATTACGTTTACAGAGCCGAGCACTACCCCAGCAAGGAAACGAGCCACTCATACTACTTCGAGATCTTTTGGTACGTGACGCGAAAGAGACGCTGAATGGGCACGAAATAACAGTCGTTTGTGATTTAGATCTTCCACGACCAGATGATTTGTACGTTGCTGAAAAGTTTGTGAAGCCTGAATACGAATTGTATTCCAAGGTACGTATATCTTTGAGTTGCTCGCTGAAAAGTGTGTTTAAATTCCTTTTTTTAGGTCAACGAAGACCTTGCCCAAGAAACTTCACGCTTGGCCAATGTATTGCAAGTTATTGAAACGGAAGCTGATGAGAATCCACCACTCTTGTTTGCTGATTACCAGTCAGGATCAACAGATGAGCAGGCCAGTGTTAGAGTAAGCAGCAGCTTCTCCTTCACGCGGCTTTTCCCCTTCAAATATTGACCTGAAGTTTTGTTGGTTGGTTTAGAACGATTTGCACATGACCAAGCAATATACCAAATTGGTTACTCAAGAACAATTCTTGAATCGTCGTATCACCGATTTGAACTCGTTGCTGCCTAAAATCACTTCTTCAGTGGAGACAATGAGAGAGGTTATACTCGAATTAAGCCAAACTATAGCGACAAGTACCTGAATCGTTTTGATATAGGATCAAGGTCGTATTGTTGCATTCTCAGAGCAGGTCAAGGAAGTGACGACCAAGCTTACCAATGAGCAGCAATCCCTGAAGGATAAATGTGCCTCCATTTCGGATAGGTAAAGCCACCGAGTCTGCACAATTTAATGGATTGTCGTCCACAAGTCTGAAGCTCTGATGTTACTGATACTGTATTTGTAGTCGCCTCAGACGTCAAGCTCAAGAAACGAGCCGCTTGGAAGCACTGAGAAAAGAGTGGGATGAATGCCAGACGCATCGCCGTCAGCTTGAAATGGCCTTGACTCTAGCTCAATCAACTTTGGAGAGTACGAAAGATGAACTTGGTAGTGTTACGAATGAATTGACTGAGACCGCGCAGGTAATTTATGCGACTCTTTGGTTTGTTACACGTAAATCGGTGTGTTTTTGACCATCCACCATCCCTTATATTATATGAATATTAGGCAATTGTCGAAGCACAGAAGAAGTGTGAAGAAAACAGACCAGTGTATGCTGCAGATCTTGAGAGCTTGAGAGGTGAGATATAGTACAATCCTACAATCGTACAATCCAGTAATCTCCTTTTTTGGCGTCATATCTTTATTTTCTTTGTCCGAAACAGACGAGTTCAGACTCATTCGAGCATCAAGTCAATGGGCACCTACTCGAGTCACTCCCACATCAATCACTTTGGTCTATCATGACAAGGTCACTGTCGGATTCACCCAAACTTCAGGCAATATGTTTAATGTCTCTGTGACGGTTGAACCTCCACTCGATACGGTAGGCGCTCCTGCAGTTCGGCCTGTGTTCTTCTCTTCCTGATGAACTTTTGTTGCTTAAGGTAATGGAACTGTTTAAAGCAGCTTTGCAAAACTCCCCCGTACAAGTTCAAGCCAAGGACTTTGTAAATGTAAGAAGACAAGCAGGTCTAAATCTCTTGTCTTGCCCTCAATGTTTTAATGCTGAATTGCTTACTTTCTTCACATAGGTCTTGCACTCCGTATCGTCAGTATGGGATTCATCATGTGCACTGGTCCACGACCTTGGTGAAGCACAAACCGTCACCAAACTAGAAGTACTACCAGCTCACGATAGTTCTCTACTCTCACTTGGAATGATAATCTTTAGCAAGAAGGCACAAACTCGATGTCGTGTCCATCTTGCAATTCAGCAACCGCTAGAGTATCCTGATGGGCTGATTCAACATGCTGTGCAGATCGAGTATGGAAGCATCAAGTACGTTTAAAGACGATTTACTTCTTCAGTGCGTTCACTCACTTACACAATCTTTATTAGTGAGGACAAGTTAAAACAAGTGATTGCTCGAAACTTTGGGCCAGGAAGGCTCTCACTTATATGTAAAGAACTTGTGAGGGGTATATTTTAACAGGAGAGTTAATCGCAGCAAGTTGGTAAATTTTTTAAATACGTCATGTTTGTTGAATGCCAATGAAAATGTATACTATATTTGATGCTTGGATGCATTTCGTTACAAATGAGATCAACCAAAAGCAGTCCTCTTTCGACCACGTTTCCGCACTAAAAACATCACAGTGAGGAAAGCCAGCCGCCGTATAAGTGTGTGATGTCCTGTTTTGCTTACCATCATTAAGCCTTGTTATTATGGATTTGCCATCTCTGACTCTATCTTTGTAGTTCTCCAGTATAGTTTCAAACTAAGGTGACGGGGAAAAAACCTCAGCATTATATCACCACCAAGAACACTACTGATAACTTACAAAAGCCTCCGTATTCGGATGTGTACTTGAAAATGCGCGTTCTAGCACATACAAGTCCACAGCCTTGTCTTCAACATCTGTAGATTGGTAACTGAGACCAAAGTCAATCATGACCTATTCCAACCCCGTTGTAGTGTTTATTTAGCTCCCATTTGGCTAAGTGATTGAAAATGACATCCAGCAATATCACATACCACAGATTGAGTCTGTGGCCGAATCATCATGTTTGAAGTTGTCAAGTCTCCATGTATCAAATCCAAATCATGAATCGATGCTACATTCCATCCGATTTGTTGAGATAGGCGACTGGCGGCTGTTTGAAATAGTGTGAGATCTTGGTGTGCGGTATATACTTTTAAATTGGAATATACCGTACCTTGCTCATTTTGTAAACCACCCTGGTGGATGAAATCACGTACACTTTGTCCATCAATATATTCCATGTAGAGTAAGCTCTTTGGTACATCAATCAAGTAGAGTGTTGGTGTGTCGATTCCGGCTTTGCAGCATCGCACTAGACTTCTGGCTTCCTAAGAAACACGAAATGATGTTGAGTGTGTTTCAAAAAAGGCCTTTGAGCTTCAGTACCTGAACAACACGTCTAGCTGTGATCTTTTGATCGAGTAGAGGATGCCTGTATGATTTAGCAAAGCGTTCCTTGACTATAGCGTCTGAATGGTTGAGGAAGGGGATCTTGTAAACTCGCTGATATTTATGTCGGTCCAAGTTTGATGATTATGCACGGTTTTAAGAAATGGAATGAGAGAGTTAGATATGGAGTCTTGGTGGCTAATGACGACTTGTTTGACACTTACAGCTTCTGCTCCTTGTTTGATGAGCACTCCTTCCATTGTTTAATTCACGACAAGATTTGACAACGGAAGCTATTAAAGGGAGTCTTCGTGATCCTGATATGTTTGTCGTTGCAACTGCAACGTCTTTGCTTTGCTAGGCTTATACGATCAATGCTTGCAAATGTTGCAGCATTCCGACAAAAGGCGAATTTCAGAAGAATGGACGAGAGAGCTCTCGTATTTGGTAGGTTAAGTTTGCGCAAGACTAAGGGCCAAAATATGCGCATTTTCATGACAGGTGTATATCCTAATTATGTTTATCATAGCAGGCAACGAACAGCGCAACATCGGAATCGCACCTTGGCTATATTGTTTGATTATGATGCGGCTACCAACACGAGCGAAATACGCTTTTCTTGGATCGCTTTATTTGGATTCGATATCGATCAGCCATGTCTCGCTTTCCCGGCGGCTCTATTTACGAGACATCCTGAATCGTCAATAAACCTCCGAACCGTGTTGCCCATTTTCTTAGACGAAAACTGCAAGTTTGAGGACGGTTTCCAGAAGATCCAGACCACCGACAATGATGTGGCTTGGCCCTTCATCTTCTAGAACTTCAAAGCCCCCGATACATATGTGGTTTGGCACTGCGTCCTCAAGAATCAATGTGATACTGTCGGTCATTATCTTCCATTTCTATGCCAAATGTGAAGCAGTTCCCTCTACGTATACAGTCTCAACGTGGGCAGGCAATGCTTCTGCCGGCAGCGGACACGTTGATGGTCAGGGTGCCGACGCCAGATTCTCTTTGCCAATCGGACTCACATGGTTTAACAATACGTTGTACGTGGCAGACACGAGTAACGGCTTGAGTAAGTCAAGCATTTGTATTGGACCTTAGATCAGACGTATAGAAGAAGTCAACAGGAGTGGCCTCTGTGATTTTAATGCTTCGGAAACTGACATCCGCTATCGGAAACTCACATCCCCTTCAATCAAGTCCGAGCAGTATCATCAAACGCGACAGTCGTGACCGTCGCTGGGACTTACGGCAACTATTCTGGTGCTGACGGAGTTGAGCTCTTTGGGTTTTATGATTATTCTTGCTTTGGAGAATGCTGACCACATCATCTCCGTTTCAATAGCAAGGAACGTCTGCTTCATTATACCAGCCTTATTCCATTACGAGTGACGGCTCTGGAAATCTTTATGTTGTAGAGTACCTCGGCTGCAGAGGTGGGTCACTGATTCGCGACCCGCATTGACAGATACATGACATAGTTTGGTAAAGACTGATTATTCTTTCCACGTGATAGTTCGTAGTATCGACTCAAATTTCGGGGTTCATAAGTTAGCGGGTCTACCCTCAACTTGCACACTAGTTAATGGCAATGGGACATCAGCTCGCTTTTATTTTCCCTCGGGCATATTGTACAACCCAGTTACCAGTAGCCTGCTTGTCGGCGAGTCCCAATCGTCTGCTATTCGAACTGTAACTTTAACGGGCAACGTCACCACATTTGCTGGAAAATTCACTCCAACTGGCCATGCGGACGGGTAAACCGGTCGAGTTGATTATTTATCGGCTAGAACCTACTAACCATAATTTTCTTACCTCAATTTGCAGACCACTGCCCAATGCTACATTTAGTCGCCCACTCAATTTCGCCTTTGATCAGTCAGGGAATCTATATGTCGCCGATCCTGGCAACAATAACATTCGAATGATTACTCCTACAGGTGAGCTGAAAGTTTCGTCATGCCTTGTTTCTAAGCCTGAGTTGACCCTTTTGTCATTACGATCAAGGCATCGTCTCGACTGTGGCAGGCAAGTGGCTCTGTGATAATTGTTTACCTTCACCTCCTTTCCGCACTTTTGACAAGCTCGGAGTCATCGTTTGTGACATTTTCCTCTCGTTTATAGGGAGCACGTCAGGTACGTCTGGGTATGCCGACGGGCAGGGCACAGCGGCCTCATTCTACCAACCGTGGTGAGTTTGTTGACTTCGATTCAAGCAGTTTAGCTATTTCTGTTTATTTAACACAGTTGATCATACTAAACAGGGGTATAGTTTTCGACGCCGGAGGTATGCTACGAAACTTGGATTGAATTTTATTTATCAAACCTCAGTGACGTGTTTCGATTAGGAAACTTAATCATCGCTGACAAATCGAATTATCTCATTCGGAGCATGAATAGTTCGTTCTATGTCTCCACCATAGCGGGCACAAGGGGGGTGGTAAGTGCGATGCCGCAGAGGAACGGGTCGCATTGAGTTTCAGAACGCGACGGCCAACCCAATTAACCCAAACACAGGGAGCCAACGACGGTCCTAGTCTATCCGCTACATTCTATTCTCCCTCGGGTTTGTTTGGCTCTTTGGTCTTTGTCGAGTGACAATCAATCTCACGAAGATCCATGCGTTTTAGGTTTAGCTTTTGACAATTCTGGGGTTTTATATATTGCCGATCGAGGAAACAAGTAAGTGTTTGGGTAAATTTAGTTGAGATAGGCGCTCATTTGAATATGTGCATCGCCGATTTCTTACTTCTCGTATTAGCTGTATAAGAAAGATGACAGGTTTCCCTGTTCCTAGTGGTGAGTCTTGAAACGCTTTGAAACTGAGCCTTGGTGATGATTTTGCCATCAAATATTTAAATCCCGTTTCCAAGTAGTGTCTAGTGCTGCTCCATCTCCAACGACGACGACCACGACGACGGCGGCCCAGCCTACTACGACCGTTACAACAAGCACCATATTGCCTTCTGCAGCAATAAGCTCCGTTGCTGCCTTCACTACTCTAGTGCCTTCAGCAACAGCCACACCTCTCGAAACCGTTTTGCCTTCAGCCTCACCAACGCCTTCGCAGGATAACAACCAAAACACCTCCATTATCAGCTCGACTGTAGTAATTGGGACTGCTGCGATTACTGGGGGTGCTGCAGCTATCGTGTTCATGAAGAGGAAACAATTGAAACAGAGACTTTCAACAACAGCCAAACCTCCACCATCAGCACCTCGGAATGAAGCAGGACATATACCACACCAGTTGCCATTTCTAAGCATGCAGCCAGAGGCGCCAATGGAGACTCAAGACTCAAGTTTAGCTGATGGAGGAGGTGAGGTACGATCAAGTCCAGTTATAGAAAGTTAGGAACAATACTTCTACTTGTAGATAACAATTGTAGATGGAATTTTTCATGCTTCATGCGATGGTTTCTTTGTTTTGAAGAGGTTCTCCTTTGTTTGTGGAGTTTGTTGCATCTGCGTCCCTTGATGGAGTCATTATTGATGAAAGCAACCAAGGGGCGTGTCGTTTGATAGTTTGGTGAAGAGAATTCAATTGAGCAAGAGCTGGCAGGTTGTGGGTATCACGGATCCAGTGCATGTCTTCTTCAAAACAGCTTTCCCTCCTGCAGCTAGGTATGATCTTGATCAAATCTTGTTCGTTCTATCTTGTCTACACACTCACGCTTAACATATCGCTGGTTCCAGTCCCTCTCCTGGAGGCGGAGGAGGAGCCAATGGTCAAACTAGTCTAACTCCTACCACTGATGCTACCCCAACCGCATCTCCCTCATCCGTCATGAAAAGCTGTTATCATCTCTGGATTAGTCATTGGAGGTGCCGCTGTAACAGCAGCTGCCGCAACAGTATTTTACCACAACGCCCAATTGAAACAAAAGCGATTTGATCTCGCCACGCCTGCCCACGTTGGCTTGAAGCCACCAAACACTTTGCGATTGAAGCACGACAAGGGCAATGTGTGGGCACGCAAGTTCAGACTGTTCAGCACTCGGCACGTTTTTAAAGGATTTTTCTCATGTGTCTTCTCACGAAAACATGAAGTTAAACGCTTCCTCAATTCTCGTCCCAAACTCAACGATGTATCATCAGTATCAGTATCATCAAGGAGGTATGGAGATTTAACGGCCTACAGTGGTGGTGAAACAGAATATATTACTCGTTGTTGAGATGCCTAATCCAACAAATATTGATGTCGCTGTTTAGCTAGCGGTAAGCATCGCAGCTGGTGTTGATAACTCCCTCATTTGTTGTCTGGGATTAGATTTTCAATAAATCCGATTACCATGGGGCTTTATGCGTTCGCTACTGAAAATGCTGTTCTACCGACAAGGTCGGGATGTCTACTTGACCATTGACGAGGTGGCAATATCGTTTTGCGGCGATTTTTAGTACATAAAAATTTTTAGTACATAAAAATCGATGCGACGCTTTCGTTGAAGCTTTCTGATAGGAGGTCGCGGAAGTCAACTCAATAAAGTAAATTTGGAAATAGCAATTAAATCTCATCTTATCTTTGGAGAGTAGTTACGCGATCTGAAACTCGAAACTTGCTACTGCTATTAGTACGGTCAAGAATTTTCGCATAATAGACGATACCCATGCGTTAGAAGACCGCAGCGAACATCTTGTTATCGAGATATGGCCTGCAGGATTGGCTGGGCTGTTGCTGTCTGATCTCATCTAGACGGCGGCATTCGTCACGATATTTTCACACCGCAAGCAGAACAAATGATAGTAAGAAACCCACTCCGTGTTCTTGTGAGACTAGGTAGGCCGAAGTTTGGATTCTAGTTGAATTTGAAACCTCGATACCAGTGACTAATTCACAATGGTGTTGCCACTGTGTCGGCATTTGCAAAGTCACGTGGAAGCCTAATTCAGACGAATACCCCATCAGCTCGAATATGAAAACATCCAGCAAAATGCATTATCTTCTACCCAGAATCCATCTTCAGAGATACTGCTCAAAGTGGTCAACTATCTTGGTTCAACTCTTCAATACAAACGCACTTGTTTGTGATATCGAACCTCATCAAAGGAGCTCTTGGAAAGCGCAAGCTCTCATCCTCGAGCGTGCAAAATTAGTCACATTTTAACGGGCGGCCTGCATTCCGTCCACATCATGGGTCAAGAATCAATCCCCTAAAGAATTTCAGTGTTGGTGCCATTTTCCGCAGCAGAGTAGCAGCTAAAACTGGCTCAAAACACTACATATATGCAAACGATCCTTTCAAAGCTCGGAGATAAATGGAGGCAAGTCCTTTCTTCTCACGATCGCGACACGTTGGAGTCGTTGGAGTTGCCCCACATTATTTATTCAAACCACTTGGACTTATCCTCAGCTGTCGTTACAAAACTTCAAGATCGACCAAAATTGCCTGGTCCTTTATCGCTAACTCCTGACTGTCACGCCCAAGATCGCGCAAGAATTTGAAGCCTATCCGCCCATTTGACATACACTGCCTCGAACCAACAAAATGTTTCGCATCCTAGCATTGCTTGCAACAGCATCTTACCTCACGTCTCAGGTCTATGGTCTCTATGAGACCGTAGTCGTCACAACCTTTTGTGGTAACGGTACAGCCGCCTCCCAGGGTTATACGGGTACGTTTTGACTGAAGACATGCGCAATCAACAGCTTTTGAAGCAAATTTTCATTTCTTTCGCAGATGGGGCTTGTGCTGGAGCCCAGTTCAATGGGGTGAGTAAGAGCCAACAGTCTCAACTCGACTGATAAAAGAATTGAGTTTATTTCTCGCAAGAGCCAACAATTTGGGCGATTGTAGAGCTGATATCTTTTCTGTTTTAGCCCTCTGGATTGGCTGTAGACCCCACAGACAATTCGCTTTTTGTGAGCGAGACGTGGAGTTACAATCTGCGAAGAGTTGATAGCGCCGGCACCACTGCTAGTACCATAGGTAAGTTCACTGCCAAAATTTGCCTTGGATTTCACTAATTCAGGTTCTTCGATATAGCTGGATCTGCGTCTGGAACATCTAGTGGATACGTTAACGGCGTTGGTACTGCTGCTCGTTTCTATGCCGCCTCGGGTCTAGTAAGTTTGCTGCTATCGACGTTTGCATATTGAACGCGTAAAAGCCCCGTGACTGACTTAGTCATTTTTCTTTCTCTTCAAAAAGGCGTTTAACACCAACAATGACTTGCTCATAGCTGACAGGGTTTGCCATTGTTGCGAGATTCACCACCGCATCCTTTTCACTTGACGAAACTAGATTCTAATCATTCTTTTTGCAAATTCAGGGCAATTATAGGATTCGTTTGTGGACCCGGTTTTCGAATGCCATCTCTACAGTGGCTGGCAGTGGTGCCACCGACGACCTTGATGGTCAAGGCACTGCAGCTCACTTTTTTCAACCATTTGGACTGGCAGCAGGTCCTTCGGGTACTATATACTGCTCCGACTACATGGGACACACAATTCGTGCTATTTCTTCGACTTATGCTGTAACCACTGTCGCAGGTACATCCTCCCTTTTACATGAAAGCGGAAACGCAGCAAGTTGTATTAACTTTTTTGTGTTTTCTTTAGGTCTTTCTCCAAGCAGTGGATTGGTCAACGGTGCAGGTATGGATAAATGGGCAGTGTAAAGAAAAATAAACCAACAAGCAGTGTTGTCTAACCCTCCATTGATATTGTAGTCGGAAGCGCCAAGTTTTACGGTCCCATGGGCAAGTGATATGATGATCAAACTTCAGATTCTGACAGAGCTCCCATTCTAGAGGCCAGTCAGATATACAGACTAACCCACCGCTTTTGGATAGGTTTGGCCGTTGATTCTGGAACTGGGAATATATACGTTGCCGATGTCTTCAATTACGTCATAAGAAAAATTGATATGACATCGAATGTTGTTTCTACCTACGCTGGATCCACTACCGGTTGTGTCGACGGTCCTGCGTTGACCGCTAAGTTTGGTTATGTGCAGTCTATCGCAATGGACGGTTCAGGTAATCATGTTGTGAAAGCAATTTTGTTGCTTTCGTTCTAACTCGTATAATTGCTTTTGCACAGGAAACTTGTTCGTCGCAGACTATAGCTGTCACACAATCCGCGTCGTCTGGAGTAATGGCACTGGTAAGTCCATATGATGGATCGGGAATCAATCCTAGAATCGAGTATCTAAGCACCAAGCACTCCCGCACACTCGTTAACATCATCAACATTTTCTTCAGTCCAAACGCTGGCCGGGGTCTCAGGCACTCATGGCTATGCTGATGGAACCGGAACTACTGCAATGTTCTATGGACCACTCGTAATCACTTTCAATGCAGACTTCTCAAAACTGTATGTTTCAGATAACGCGAACGGAATTATTCGAATGCTGAGTAAGTTGAAGTGTATTTCATGGTGGCAAGTTGTGAGTATCACGGATCTAATGCACCACTTCTTCAAAACAGCTTTCCCACCATCAGCTAGGTATGATCTTGATCAAATCTTGTTCGTTCTATGTTTTGTACACAGTCACGCTTAACAAATCACTTTTTCCAGTCCCGCTCCAGGAGGTGGAGGAGGAGGTGGTAGTGGAGGCAATGGTCAAACTAGTCCAACTTCTACCCCAACCTCATCTCCCTCATCTGACAATAACTCAAATGCTGGAATCATCTCTGGATCTGTCCTTGGGGCAGCCGCAGTTACAGCAGCTGCCGCAACAGCGTGCTACCACAAGGCCCAATTGAAGAAGAGGCTATTCAATCTCGCCCCTCCTGCCGAACCTCCAGCTGCCAAGCCAGAAGCAAGTGTATGAGCACATTTGGCACTGTGTAAATCCAAGTTTGTTTGAATGTTTGAGAATCTGGGGTATGAAAAAACAATGTACAAATTTTTGCTGGGATCAAAGCTTCAAGTAGTGTCATTAAGAAACGCTACCAATCTTGTATAAAAGAAACACACAAACCCATATCTCTGTCGTCCAATAAACTCACGATTCAAGAGAATCCACACTTTGGGGTCGAAATACGAGAAGCGAATGTGCGTGCACGTAAATTATAAATGTTCAGATGATTTAGCACGTTATTGAAATCTTGCCTCACGCCTTCCTCCACGAAAAGCGCCTTTTCCTTCGTCTTGCACAAAACTGTCGTAGAAAACTAGATCGCAGCAATGTACCATCAACGAGATGTGAATCTCAAAGGAATGGAGATTGAAGAGTCCACAGACTGTCTATGTAGGATCTCTATCCATTCTTCCTGGTTACGTTGATCTGTTCTAAAGCTTAGCTCCTTTTCTGCTAAACATTCTAGTGTCTGATTTTGAGGTTCTAGAGCTGCTTAAAAAGACCAGAGCTCATCGAAACATTGCTCCGGAATTCGCTGATCTGAATACTGTCGAGACAGAGGTAGGTTAAAGTGGTTGATTGATTGATTTCACCAACATGAAACAAAATAACCTGTTCATTTTGTTGTTGCAACATCTACGTTGAAAAGAAGAGTCAAACAAGCATCACTCATCACTGAAACGACACTGACATATACACTCTTTCATTATCATGGTCATTAGGTTCTCAAATACTTGGAAAACAAACCAGCTGCATCACAAACACATGAAGACGTTGACAAGTTCATGAACTCGCCAATTACTTCCAAGTTTGAATTGACTGAAGCTGAAGTATTGCAATTGTTGAATTGGAGGCCAACGTCTACTTTGGAATTGGTTTTGGTATGTATGGATAGTAGTAGTTACGTTTCTGCTTAAGTGAAAATAGAGTTCACTCTTTTGCCACCTGCATTTTATTTATTTTTACCTCTCTGTGCTTTCTTTCATTGCTCTCTCACTCAAATATTCAATGCACTTTCGCTCATAGTACGTGTCAGACTTGGAAACCCGATTCACTGCCGAACAGCAACAGGAAATGTTGAAGCTGATCAAGGAATTGTTACCTCCTCCACCAGCTCCTGAAGAGTGAAAGCTGGATGCTTAACTGTCGACTCAAAACCTGTATAATATAAGAAAGACTTGCTAACTTAAAAACCTTTTAAACATATACATCCATTGCACTAAATCAACTAGTGTCCGACAACAGAGTTTGAAATATGTGTTATATGTACTATATTTAAGCAGCTAGAAACATTGCAGGTTCTCTAATACTGTGGAGCATATCCATACGGTTGTTGTTGAGGTAGTGGAGGATGTTGATACATGTGTGGTGGCATCTGTTGCAGTTGCTGCGGTGGTGGAACAGAATACATGGCTCGTTGCTGCGCTGCCAATTCCATCAAATGTTGATATGTCTGTATAGCGCGTAAGAAGCGATCATTGATCATTCCCAATTCATCTATTGGTATATTCGTGTTTGATTAGCACCAAAAATATAATCATTTATGAAAACTCAAACGAAAGTTTTTACCTCGTTTGGCTTTACTAGCTTCCATAGCCTTGATGATTTTGGGTCGTAGACTCAGCACAACATTATAAGTGTCCTATGAAGGAGGGGCAAAAAATGTACGTCAAAACACTTCTTATGATTCACAATGTGTTCAAAACAGTTCACAACTGACCTGCAACCTCTCATTCTCTGACAAGTTATCCCTCCTTGGATCAACAGATGCCAAAATACCTGCAAACTCATCCAATCGATGTGCTTGAGACATCACCTGTGCCTCTATACCACCACCAACATTCGTCGATGTTGCAACACCAGTCTCAACAGGCACAGTTCCAACAATCTTTTCCACATAATTCGCAGGAAAGATACCATTTCGACCACGTAGACCTCCCTTCCACCAATCTCGGAATGTCACTGAATCGTATACTGCGACAATATCGCCACGAGCCATGGCTAGTTCTCCTTCTTCTGAGCCGGGAAAGTCGTATAGTGCTCGTACATGGAATTCGATTTCGGGTTGCTAAAAAAAGCAAAGTCAGTGACCCTGAATTCGGCTCTCAGATATAGGATTACAAATACGATAAACGTAAACTCGAAATGTAGAGTTGCCTTGCTTACAATTTGTCTTGGAGGTGATGATCTCCTCTAAATAGAAATGTGTCAGTAAGGCTTGAAAACAAGTTTGCAAAGTAACTCTCAACCAAGAAACAACTAACTTTGAGAGCAGCTTCTTCTTTCTCAGCAGCAGACATGGACATTGCGAGCTAAATGGCGAGGGAGCAAGTTGTGTCAGGTTGCTAAAGAAAAAACAAGGAGCGTCCACTGAATTACATACAGCCAGCTGCAACTCTTCATCTTCCTTTTCTTTTTGGATTTGTGACCTTGACTAAAACAGTGAGATAAAGGCTAATTTAGCCCAATGGCAGATCCAAACACAACCAAAAGACACAACCGGTCTCCATACTCACCTTCTCAACAGGCGCTTGCTTTTGCGCAGAAGGGAATTGATAATCTTTGTGTGTAAAGGAGAAGGATGGTTTCAGTCATCATAGTGATCAAGTTGAAGTATTAACAACACGATGTACATACTTTGCGCTTTGAGTTGATTATACGTATCCACCATAAACCTGGATTCACATGCGAAAATGGGACGGTAAGAAAGCGATGGCCACCAAAAAAAGTAGCACATAGGGACGTTAAATAACTTCCAAACAGTCTGCAAACATCATGCGCATTACCCTAACGAAGGTTCACTTTTGAAAGCCTCAGCCCAATGCTGAACCAAATCCAATACCCGAGTCCGAATAGTCTCATGAATAGCCCTGTTGGATACGAGTTTGACGAGAGCATCTACAAACACTCTTGAACATATTTCTCGCTTGACTGCCATCCCACAGTTCTGGACGAGCGAGTTTGCGATTGTTAATGTGAATAATACCACCTAAAATGTATATTAAATCTTGACGTAAGAAGGCCATTTGGAAGGGAAAGGGCAATTCACGTGTGTTGAATGTGTGAACATCACAAATGCCCAAGACTATACATACATTGACATTCTTATGTTGGACTCGTTTCGTGATGATTGATACAGCGTCTCTAGCAGTTGTATCGGTTTTGTCTGCCCGCTCACATATTTGAATGATTGCCGTCCAGTTCTCGGATGTGTTTGTCTCGCTAGATGCAGCAACTGGTAAAGAAGGACAGAGTAAGTATTATTGACAATAGATATTACAAGTAGTGACCGTCTTAAGATTCTCTCGTACCTATTAGATCTTCGAGGGAACTCATGGTTGCTTGTGTTTTTGTGTTTGATGAAAAATGGAAGCGACAACATGTGAGAAACCAGCTCGAGACACAGCGACGGCACAGCGACGCTATGTAAAAAACAATGCTCTGAGCTTCAAGTGGCCTATGGCGACGCGTCTCGCAACCAACTTTTGTCTAGATCGTTTATTTTCAAAAGAGTTTCCGTACTCTATACCATAGTCTCGCTTCCCTTGTCATATAAGACAATTGCATCATACATTGATGCTCCAAGTGACTCTGCAACTTGAACATTCTTGAACACTTTTGGAAAGGGTTAAAAGATTAGCACCAAAAAAAGTCAATGCGAAAATTCGTGCATGCTGATCCACCAAAGCAATAACGCTCCTCACCTGCAATCTTCAGAGATTCCACTTTGAATTGAGCGAAGAAGTTGGTGTGAATAGCACGTCCCATTCCCTAAACCAAGAGTAGCCAAATGTAAGCAACCCAAGTTCGACGTAATCCCCTGAAGCATTCCCTTCTTTTTACCTCTAACACCACGAAATCAGTATCAAGAGCAGCTCGTGCTAGCTGCTCATTGATTCTAGCCATATCTAATATGAAGATAGTTACAACAGATGGGAGACATGAAGTGAAGTTGTCAAGTGCGCGCAAAAGCTGGCTGACAAAGACATATACCTAGACAAGGCGACCCACTACCAGATCCAATAACTTGCAGTGTGCCATCCCTCCAATGCTCTTGGATAACAGGATCAAACTCTGATATCTTGTCCATGACTTCCATACTTTCGCGTGCCTTCGACCAAAGAAAAACAAAAATCAAGTCGTCTGTATATGAGGAAACCCACAAAGAGGCGCCGTCATGCACACATACCGTCATATCATTAACACTTGGGAAAGTATTACAAGCCAAGATAACTTGTGTTCCCTTTGTCAATAGGTATCGAGCGAACGGAACTATACCCAATATGAAATCAGCACCACTATTATCCACAAATATACATGCTTTGTGATGTGGTATATCGTTTATCAAACGTTTCTTTAGTGGGGCGAGTTGGTTGAATTTAGGTGGGTGTTGTACTTTTTGCTGTGGTGTTGAGATACGGGATGAGTTTTTCGCGTTTATAGATTAGACATGATCATGCGAAAGTGAGCGGCAATAAGGTCCGGCTTTTACCTTGGCTGTCTCAAAATCCAATTCACCCTGGCAAGTCGGTAACACGTTAGCAAAATAACTCGTATAGGAGTCCTCCATGAAGTTGCACCCAACATACCCGACGCAACATTTCTTGAACTGACGTTGATCCCCTACATGACGAACACAAGAAAAACCTGATTGAACGAACGAGAAGGAGGACCTTGAATGAAAATACATGCTTACCAATCATACATATTTCCAGCCAACACATTTTGAATCAATGTCTCAATACGAAGGTCTTCAGGCATTGCATCCAGCCGTGTCAACATTTTAGGGAGTCCTTCTAACGCAGCAGTATTCTCTTGTTTCTTGATTCCTTCAAAGATATCTCGGAAACCCATTTCATGGAGACACTGTTCTCTCAAATCCAATAGGCTAAGAAATAAAAGGAAGTTACGATACGTTCCTGAAAAACGCTTCTGTGTCCAACAAAAACAACCTGTCGCAAGAAGGCTCTAAACACTTCAGTTACCTTCTGATAGTCATAACACCATACATGGACGGCTCTTTACGTAAACGTTGCAAATGAGCACGGTACATGGTTTCAAACGTTGCCGCTCGTTGCTTGGAATCCTCTTGATGACCTTGCCACTCCAAGGCCAACTCGATCAAGTCGCTCAGATTCTTGTCTAGCAGATCAATCCAATATTTTTGCAGTTTTGGATCACTCAAGTCTGTTGTATCTGGATTATAGAGTGACACGTCTTTTAGGAGCGGGAATGGAGTTTCCTTGTTTAGAGTCTACATTTGAAGACAGAAACCGTCATAAGCTGACAATGTTTGGGGATTTGCCGAAAAGAGGGATTTATTCCAGATGAATACCTTGTCGAGGACACCGACAGCTCCCAACGACTTTTCAGATATCTTTTCAATCTGACTGAAGTTCTCTCTAAATGAACCTAATCTGGCTCGTCTTGGAGTCAATCGTAAGAATGCTCCAACGCTACCCAGATATCCTTCATGGCGACAGAACAGAGCCTTCATTTTGCCCTTTGACCAGAATGAAATTGCAAAGCTACATCATGGCAAAAGCTTCGAATGAGTACACGATTGAAGGACAAGCGTAGCGTAGTTGATTCCAACCTCAATGTGTTCATGGTTATTGGATGACCACGAATGAAGAATCCACTGAAGTATATCCTTTGTAAACAAGAGGATGAGAACCAAAACCGTGTATGCTTTCTTCAAAAGCGTTCGTAAAGGTTTGCTCTACCTCTGCAATCCATGTGCCTGTGCATTCAAATATGCAATTTGACCAATATTATTGCTGACCATGTACTATGTGAAGGAAAACACAATGGGCAACAGAGACCAAAAACGCAGCCAAATAGTGGAATAGATCCTACCAATAATGACCGTGATATATCTTCAGGCTTGAAACTCTTTCGTTCTTCCGGTGTAGCCTTGAAAACCTTGCCAAACGATGATGCAATAGTGGTTGCCTTCAAACCAATTTTGGGATAGTCACTGCTTTGGTTGAGTTAGCGGTTGATTGTTTTGGTTTTGTTAGCGATAGCGATGACAACGGTTTCTTAATATGGTTCTTTAGTCTCTTACCCGCCATAAATATCACCAACCTATCGAAAACGTGATGAATGGGGCTGTCTGCAAAAGAAGCACCAATTTCGAAGACAAATCACGCACCAGCATGTCTACGTTCTTGTTATCTCCTTGCTTGGATAACTCTAAAATAGCATAGGAAGATCAATGAGCCCTTCATACTATCCCGACAGTCACAAATGCGTCACATTGAAGGTACCTAGCATCTCGTCATATGAAGTTCCATTCGTTATGAGAGCCAACAAGCCCCATAAAGTTCCACCGCCCAATGACGTTCCTAAATACAAGTTCCTCTAGTCAGTGCAAGTACCTCAGAAACCCAACTAAGGAACTGATCATACCGCTGATGCGCTCATACGTCTCTTCACTCGTCACTTTGAGTATGCTGACACCGGAACCAATGTTGACCAACTATGTTGAAAATTGTATGAGCACAAAGCTTGAGTAATGCGATATCTTTGGCTGGTATGTTCAGTTCAATAAGTACCATGTATGGAAACAATTCACGTGGTGTGTCTTCATAATTTAATGGTTCTGTTCTTCTTTCATCGTAGGTGAAGACTTCATAGGAGATTTGACGGACCATAAAGTTCAAACCTACGGTCAGAGGACATAGCTGAAAACTGTCTTCTGCCTGCGTCGTGTTGTATTTTGGAAAAGAAACGCTTTCTGTTCTGGCCTACCAGTGATTAAACTACAGACAAAAAAAAATGTTATTAGAACCAGTGACAAATGGCAATGGACGATACCAACACTGTTACCATTCCATTTCGTCTTCCTTTTGAACAGTCACCCCCAACCTCTCTTGAAACAAGTCTAGATTGAAATCGCGGGAGTTTTTAGTGCCTGGATAAGTGAAAAATATATAATAGACGCATGGGATGTACCATAGTATTTGTGAGCTCCACCACCCGTGGCTACATCAGCATGACGTGTCAGCACCTCGCCCTTGTTCTGTCAGGCAACTGGCAACGATTCTACCTTTGATGACACGTCTAGACCGTGGCATGCTTCCATCTTCATCTTCATCCAATACTTTTGCGATAAACGCAATACATTGTTCGATATCTTCAGTTTGGAACTTGTTAAAGTTCAATCGACCTCCAGGAGTGTTTGGTGCTCGTGAAAACCAGACGACTTTGGCCAAACTTCCACCCTATAGGGAACGAGATGTATCAATGATCAAGTTCTCCTAAGTTGGTGGAATCGGGAGCGAAAAAACATGAATATGGCCTCGTACGATATCAACTGCGATTTGAGCAACATTTTGTGTCTGATGCGGAAACAGAATCTCTCTAACGAACAAATAATGATCAGTTAGCGATCTAAATGGAATCAAATCTACGGTTGATAGCAGCATCAAATCACGGCAAATGGCAAAGCATGGCGATGTTCAATACATGACAATATGATGTCACACATACGAACCTGGTTTCAGATGGAGGCACCGGCTCTTCGCTGATGGTGGCTCCGCGTATATTCAGTCCAAATCTACGCTGGCCCGTCGTGTCTCCCACTATTACATTACATTAGCTACAGATGTTGGCATGCTCAATTAGCTACAGCAGGCTTACTAGATTCACGTCTTCCCAAATTAGCTCCTCCTTCCGGTTCCGGTTCCATGATGATGAGGCTGCTGAGATTACACTTATACCTATAATCAACACGTTTAAGCCTTGTCTCATGGGTTTTGAAGGTTTGGGCGAAAATTGTGAATTGTTTCAAGACAAATAGTCTGCATTTTAAAATAGATTCGTATTCGCTTTATAAAATTACACGTGAATCGCGCATTATTTCACGTCGAAGAGTTTCTCATCGTGGGTTTCTTCCATCTCCAAACATCCTGAAGCTCTCAATTTTCACAAAGCACAGTTGTTGCGGTATACAGAAGTATGTCATATTGATGCTCACATTTTACCTCATTTTATTTGCAGCTTTGCTCACATCTTCGTCATCTTTCAAACGTCCAGAGCTCCAACATCTCAAATAAGCATCAAAATTTACAAAATGAGCTATCGACCTGGTGACGAACTACCAGCACCAGCTGGAGATATTCCTCGTGACAGAGCCCGCTCACGTTCTCCACGACGAGACAGTGGTGGTGTCAAAGATTACGAGTATCCTGATCCATATCATTCATCAACTCGTTCCGATGATAGAGGAGGAGGAGCACCGCCATACTATGGCGATCGCAATGGAGGTTATGGATATGGCTATAACGACAGATATGATGATGGATACCGTGGAGGTTATGATGATCGAAACAATGGATATGACAATGGTGGTTCTTATGACAATCGACGTGATTCTGGACGTTATGATTCTCGATACGATTCTGGTGGTGGTGGACGATATGACTCTGGAGGTGGAAGGAGTAACCGTGGATATCGAGACAGTCGCCATTCATCACCTCGTCCTCGCAGAGAGATCATCAAGTGAGTCTTCAAGTTGAAGAATAAAAAGGTTACGGTACTTCCTTTTCTTTGCTGCTCGAAGTTGAAGGAGGTTGGAGAATATGAAGAATGTATTGAAACAACCGAAAGAACTGCTTCTCCTTTTGCGCAAACTCTGAAAGCTATAGCTACGCAACTCACATGGCGTCTTTTCTATTTGTAGAGGAGCTGAGAATGACAGAGCGACAACTACAACACTGTTTGTAGGCAACTTGCCATATCGCTTTGAAGAACGAGATATTTCAGAACTGTTTGGGCGCTATGGCCCAATCAAATCTATCAGTGTCCCTTTTGATCGTCATACTGGAAGGAACAAAGGGTCAGTAGACTATTTATGGAATTGAACCTTCGTTTTTTGTTGTTGCTGTGTCAAACAAATGCTCATCTATACTCACTCTTCCAGGTTTTCATTTGTGGAGTTTGAAGATCGACGAGATGCGCAAGACGCATTTGAAAAAGTACAAGGCTTTCCAGTCGATGGCAGAAAGTTGAAATTGGATTGGGATGTTGGTCTACAGAAAAAAGATGAATTGAAAGGTCGAACCTCTGCTGCTCCTTCAGATAGAGGGAGAGGAGATCGACGAGATAGTAGCAGTATTAGAGGAGATGATACTGGTGGTGGTGGTGGAGGATCAAGAACTTTTGTTGAGCCTGCTCGAGATCCCCGACTTTCAAATGCGCCCCCACCCCCACCAGGAGCTTTTTGAGAGACATACATTACATGCACGCATATATTGACATTCATACCCCATGGTAAGAATTATTAGTCGTCTGGTGCTGTGTTTTTAACAACATTTTCAGGTTGTTTAACACTTCTCGCTTTGCTTACAGGAGATTCAGCTGAATATGAAGAGATATCTATAGAGGAGTACAACTTACCTCAACAAGACGTGGATTTGCTTGTTTAAAGATACGATGAAGAACAACATACCTTGTAGATTTAGTCAACCAAAAAAGAGTCCATTCTACAGCAGCTCTTGGCAGTTTGATTATTTGAGTCGGATGTCTCCTAGCAGTTTGAGTATTTATGAGTGGGCGGTCTCAGACCCTCGGCGAGATGTTGAATCTTGCGGTCGGTCGGCAAGTGCATGCGTAGTTCCACAAGAGGTGACAACGCTACCGAGTCTCAGATTGAAGTTGCCCTATTTTTTTCCAGGTTCAAGTCCAGCTAGAAACGCAATTTTTTTGCAGTGTATGTTTTGATTTAAATAAAACAAGAAACGCGGAAGCGCAAGAGAGAATAAAACTGTAATTCCCCATGTTTCAATATACATTGTTAAGTCCTCATACATATAAAACTAGCAGACTTCGTGCCAGAAACCCACTTTTCCTGCATTTTGACACCGCCTTCGTCTAGATTCCAAGGAAGTTACGTCCTGTTGAGTCTCGTATGCCAAAAACACACTGCTTCAACATTTACCACATGAAAAAAAAACCGATTTACGAGTCTGTGAATACAAAAATGATAATGTCGTTATTGAAGATGATAACTAAGACCCCATTGCTGCGCCCATCATCCAACCTGATTCCTTCAGCCAAAACCCTACTGATCTACTCGCTATGGTCTTCAAAAAGTATGTAATTGCATGGAACTTACCGAGAAAGGGATTCCATTCTAACTAAAACTTCATCCACACAGTGCCGGCAAGGATCATGCCACATTGGTGCCCATCCAGAGAGTCTCCAGACTAGTCTCAAATGTAATTCGACACTTTGCACTCCCAACACGACGCAGTGGCATGTATTATGGCGATAAACCACTTGGTATAGACTTGACACGAGTCAAGCAGATCGTTCTCTCGGGAACATGAGATAAATGTCACGGACACACGGATATAAACAGTTTCCACAGCTTCGCAAAGACTCTGCAGGACCTGTTGCCAGCCATGTAAGCAATTTTTCGTGGGCAAAAGTTCTAAATGTCAACTAAAATCACTCTCAATTACTTTCGAACAGACTGCTTACGCAAGATGTCTTTCTGGCTAGTCTCCCCAACGGTACATTTCCACCCCGTGCTCTTCGCCGGGGGGCCAGAGGGACTTAGCCTGCGATTCGGAAATAAATTACTCTTCTAGTCTCCTTAAGTCATTGTTCAGCAGCTAAACTGGCCTCTGGCATCACCTTAAATCAATGGCAAACACTGCATAGAATTGAATGTGAGAAAACCACTGAGTTCCTGACCCAGGTCAACTTCGTGGCTCCCATCTTATTCGAAGAACGGCTTGATCGACGTCTTCCGATACTTGCTGCGGCTGCTAATTGCCACATAGAGGAATGTCATAGCTTGGAATGATACTCGGGTTGTTGGATGAGCCAAATCATATTTTAGAAGCAAATTGGGAGAATTTGGTTGGTAGCACCTTTCTTGAAATAGCTCAACGTCGGGGTATCATCCGCGCACGTCGGGCAGGATGGTTGGAAGAGGAATATACAGAGTGGTGGATGGCTATGGTGGAGGGCTACATATCATACACCGTCTGCTGACGCTAACTGAACTTATCCAGTCTCGTCAAGGCCGAACTTGGATGCCATCGGACTATCATAAGCAATGGCCATCACAAGGCATTGACGACATAGACAGAGCACAATACGGGTGGTGGCGGAGACGATTTGCCAATATCTTGGATGTGTTGGGAGAAACTGTAGTAGGAGATCGTTATGAAAACATGTTTCTCGAATGTCTGGTAATAACTTTTGAGGAGGCGGATAACACCATGTTCAGCTGCATCTGGTGTGATTCTGGTGCTCCTCATACTCGCAAACAAACTTTTCACCATATTCGCAATGTGCGTGATGGTTATGATAAAGTCTTGGTAAGTTTGGCTTGTGTCTTCTCGATTCTTACTAGCCTACTGACACAAACGTATTGTGCCTCCAGTAGGAATTTATCGGAGTATGTGATGGTGGTATCCTGACACCTCAAGTTCTCGCCAACAGGCAAGCTGTGGTCAAAGGAATCTGCTCTAGATCAATGCCCCTTGAATGTCTCAAGCATTTGGACAGATTCCCATCTTTCCAACCCGTTGCAGACTAAATTGGAACCATTGACCCCGAAATCTCGAACCGTGCCGAATGGTCGAAGCTCTTGCTCCCCATATCGACGAATACGTTCGTCTTGCTGAAATGGCAGTTCGAAAGAGTATGACGATGCAGGAGGTTTGCAATAGTGGCTAGCAAACTATAATGGTAGCAGTAGCAGTATTGCGGTGGTAATGGAAGAATGGGCAGGGTAAAGATGAGGGCTAAAAAAAGGAGCAGGAGGAATAAATGAGGTCTTTGAAATAAAAGAAGTTGGAGGATGGTATTGAGATTGACCTGGTCAGCTCAATAAACACATTCAACACAAAATCATGTTCGAGCTGCGACTGTCCGTAGATTCTCCGTAGATTCTCGTGTCATCAACTGGCGAATACGCCAATATGCTTCAAATAGCGTTCGTTATGGCTCGTCATCGTTTGTTCGCGTCTTGTCGTTGTTTCATGAAATGTTGGATATTGTAGTAGAAAAGTTTCAACACTTCCAGGCCGGCGAATAACAGTGCGGGACCGATGCCAGTAGGAGATGGTATTTGCTCCGCAACTCTTCCTGGGATGCGCTCCTCTCTGACCTCCTCGGACCTCGTTTCAATCCAAAATGTTGTTTGAAGGATTTCAGGAATTCTGTAGCCATCAAGTGGAGCTGGAGCTGTGAAGTTTGAGTTAGAGAGTAGAGAGCCAATTTTAGCAGTATGTGACGTTTTGTTAATCTAGACTTTGGCTGACGTAAGTTGAACGAACGTGAACAAAACTTTTGGAACTCAAAAACAATTCCCACCGTACGTTTTGTATTTAAACTGGTGTTCCATCCAACCAATCATTATTCAGATCCCGATGGATGCGATCTATAGTCGCCAAAGCTCATAGCCACTTTCTTGTGTTTGTTTTTTCAATGTTGACCGTTGGCTAGAGTAAGCTGACACACTCTTCAAAGCATTCGGAGGTAAGAAAAGTACTCTCAAACCATCAATTCACTTCAATCATTCCATACGACGTCTCATCTATCAGCGAACGCATAGAAACCATGGGTCGAATTTCACGATTATCTGCTTTTGCAGCTTGTCTATTTGGCCTTTTGGCTTCAGCCAATGCTCAGACAGCATCGCCACCCAACTGTCAAATGCCAGTGTCTACTACATCGTAAGCAATTGATCTTTGGCTACTTTAGATTCAGATCTCCTTTTGACGTTGAGCAGAGTTTGACCAACATTGTTAACTTTCTTTTTTCTGTTTACGCAGAACAACCGTCGCTGGATCAGAATCAAACATTACTATCACCAACTACTTTTGGCAAGGATTCGTCTTGATCTCTAACAATGGCTCCACCGGCGGCAGTATTTCCGTCCAGCTCAATAGTGGAACTTGCCTGGATGCGACCAACTTTGAATCACTCTTTTTCGAATTCTTCGTAAGGCGGAATAGCAACGAACTGTTACCTAGCATCGATTTACTCATCTATGAATCCTCTACTGTTAGAGCTCTGCGCTGGACCCAGTGTCGATAAAACTCCAGTCAAGGGACTCAAATTGCAATGCTTTTGCAGCAAGTACGTCCATTCACACGTGATCATCGTTCGCCATCCACCATCAAATCCTTACATCCAAACTTTATAGACAGCAACACATTAAGCTCAAGCGATTACAGTGTGTTTATTGACCATGGCAGGGCCACACCTTGGTCGTAAGTGAGCCACAAGCAAGCTGCCCATAAAGACAGCGGCACTAATTGCTTGCTGCATATGTCTTTTAGATGGGCTGCCAATATCACCATTCCATTCTCAGCATTCTCTGGTTTAGACAAGACCCATCTTTACGACTTGGTCATATCGCCAATCGGCGGTAAGTCTACTTAAATGCCTGCGTATGATGTGGAATCCATAGACTTGACTCGCGGTCTCCTTCTTTCAAGGTCCATATGGTGGAACCTTTGCCCTTGGAAACATGATATTGAACGGATACAAGACTTCGAATTGTAAACCAGCTGCTGTGATTGCCCCGTCTCCTACTGGCAATGCGCCGTCTGCTGCAGGAACTACTGCTTCAACAAGCACTACATCAGCATCGGCATCAACACCTACTTCGGTAAGATCGTCACGCCGTCCATTCCAAACTCCAACATACGTTCCAACTTGATTTCTTGGAATGTTAGACTACCGGTAGTCAATCTTCGTCTGGATTCCGTCTGAATCTAGGAAAGGGCGCCATTGTCATGGTGATGATTGTAGCCTTGGCACTTTGACCCAACTTTTGTTTGGGTACTATAAGAACCGCAGGCTAGAAAACATATACTTTATTACTTAATCTGGGATTTTACATATATTGGTGCATGGGGGCATGGGACATTGGGGTTATTGGGGTTTGCATCTAAAATAACTTGCTTGGGAATACATTTTACCTTAATGTGCCTTTGAGGTTTGAAGTGTCGTTCTTTACGCCCGTCAAGAAACCTGAAGCAGGAGAGAATGCAGATCTCATAGTTCTGCTCTATATACAAGCGAAATAAGCCAGCCTAGCTTGTTTTCAAACCACGAGCGCCTTGTGCTGGACCCCAAAGTCCACAATTTTTCTTGGCACTAACTGCCTCGCGATGCCGCATTCTACCAACAACCCCAATTGCTACAAGATAAAGCGGTAACGTGCTTGAATACGAAGCTAAAAGCTATGGTCAAAAGC